GGGGGGGGGGGGGGGGGGGGGGGGGGGGGGGGGGGGGGGGGGGGGGGGGGGGGGGGGGGGGGGGGTAAAGCCGATTAAACTAGAGTGGGGGCAATGTGTGTGTGTCGACACGTGCGGGGAAACAATGTTCATGTTCGCTGACACGTCATTCACTTGTGCCATCGGGTCGTAGATCGAGATGGGTGGAGAGGGCGAGAGGCGCGGCAGTGGTCAAACGAAGGAAACGCGAACGACAGAGCCGAACGATGAATCACCCCTCAAGGTTCATAGACAGTAGCACACCGGTGACGAGCAGTAGCAACAAGAGCAGTGAATGGAATCTCGGACAAAACAATATAGTATAGTGGTAGCGACTGAGCAAACATCAATGCGACAAGGGGGGAGGCGACAAAACGAAAGAAAGCCATGATCAAGGCAAGCCGGTAGACATCGAACCACGCAAACGAACAAAGAAAACACCTCTACCGCCTTGCCTGATGGCCAATCATGTTCTCGGACACCAAGGGATCGCAACAGCAGTTGTGATAACAACACCTGTCTACGCCACGTATCGTCGTACGGCAGAGCCGTCGCGGCCCGTTCTTACCCGCAGCACCCGGTGCCGTATGCGCAGTAGTCTGATCGCCTGCTTTACCAGCCACGGGTCTGGCTCCCTGCCCGTGTCCCCAGCGAGGTCTGAGGATAGCAGTAGCCCGTCCTCGCCGTCCTCGCCGACCAGGCAGGAGTCGATCCTCGCCTGGATCTCGATGATCATTCGCATGTGCTCCATGGACGACCTCAGCTCTTCAACCTCTTCGTTCTGCGGCCCAAGAAGGGTCGAAGACGAACGCCAACGTCAGACGAAAAGAACGGGTTCGGATCGACGCCTAGGTGGCGAAGCGGCACCGCGTCAATACACGTGCTGCACATAACCTCTGCTGACTCGAAGGCAGAGGCGACCCCCCACCCCCTCACCACCATTAGACTGCATGCGAGGGCTGCGATGCCAGACTGCTGCGATTTTGACAAGTTTATCAGGTCTCGATGCGATCAACCTCGCACTCAGCTACACTCGCAGGCACACCTGCATGTAGAGCTTGCCATGTACATCCCCATCCTTGTACATGTATCAGCCTGCAATACTTGAAACTTTGCGCATACATGTAGAACAAACGCATATATTCGGTGTACTTGTAGGATTAAAAAAAAAAGACAGACAGGGACAGCATTACTGTAGCACGCAGCGAAAGACTACAGTGTACCTTGGGTGACACAGGATACCACCCCGCCCCTGGACCGAATTCGAAAGCTCGACTAAATACATGCACAATCCTAAGAAGAAGACGCAAAACTCAATTGGTTCGTTTGCGGAAATATCTCGACGAGATGCTTCCAACCCTGCCATTTTCGGCACCGCAAAAATGGTCGAGCTATTGGAAACAGGTCAAGGGGGTGTGGTATCTCGTGTCACATACGGTAGACCAAGTCCAGTCGTACGGAGTATCTACTTCCTTAAAACGAAACTCTTCGGCGCTTCAAAATCAAGTTGGAACAATACAAGCTTTTTTCAAGAGAAAAAAAAAAAAACGTGTGCTTGGGACACGGGAAAGGGATGGACTCTGACTTAATAAACCATGCACAGTCGAGTTGACGGACGGAGGGAGGGGTGTACTTGTGCTCGTATGATTAGCCTTGTGCTCCTTAGCGGATGATCCAGAAAAAGGTTCCAACATGTTCTGCGTGTGTGCGCACAAAAGACATGTAGTCACCCTTCTTCTTGGCGAGGCGATGTACGGGGAGTGTGTCCTCGTCTCGGTTCCTGGTAGGCGGTAGAGTGTCGGCGCTACCCGTGTCCGCGTTGTTCCTGGATGTATAGTCCATCCGGTTAAATTTTGTCACCATCTCCCAGGATCACTCTGGAAATAATTCCGAGTGACTGACGTACCCCCCAGATATATACTTTATATCGTAAGAAAGCTCTGTTTCAGGCGGATCGGTTGATCGGAACATATATATATATTTATTTATTTTGGTTGGCAAGAAAATCACGATTTTGTCGAGATTTTGCAAGAATTTGAATGGTTTTATTTGGTCGAGTGTGGGGTCTGATTTTTTTTTTAGACCGGTTTTGCACGTATGACGTCGAGGAGCTGCGAATGACCCAACTCAGTTTTTTTTCGCTGGTATGCCACGGAGAAATGGGCACAAAAGCGCAACGCTGATGAACTCAGGAAACCGTTTTCCGGGGAGATATGCACCGATAGTGTTCGAAAAACAACGGATTCGGACGAATTGGACCTGCAGCCATGACAAGTTTTTTTCTTTTTTTCCAAAAAATGTTTTTGGCGAGATATGTCCCGTCCAAGTTTTGTGTGTTCACACAACACGCATGACCACATGACACACCATCATCCACATCATACAGCAGTACCCCACGCCCTCACAAGGGCCCACACAAGCCCACACATGGCTGGGCGTCCTCCCGGCAGACCAAAGAAGCGCGGCAGCTTCCAAACAAGAACAGTTGCTGGCCGGTTAGGCGCGATGAGACTGCCACATCCAGAACCCCTCGCTGCGGACATCCTACCACAACATGACAATGACACATGTTATGAATGAAGGAGACGAAGAGGACCACAGCAGTAGCAGCCAACACAGCAATGACAGCGACCTCGGCAGTTGTCCCCGGACGAGCGTAAGGCCGAAGAGATGGCCGCCCTTTCCGCGGCCAAGGAGGCCAGGAAAATGTCTAACGAGGCTGCCGACAAGACGCTGAAGAAGTTCAAGGCAGCAACACTCACGGTCACCTGAGTTGAGCGTAGCAGCACCAGCCGCCGCGAATAGTATATAATTTTTATGTTTTGAACTTGGCTCCATTTAGATTGGATGAATAGACTAGATCATGGCGGGGAGGATCGGGGTGTCGGCAGGAATCTACATTTTTCTGTCTGAAATAAGTGTTGCTTTTTCGCTGTTGCGGAGAGAGTGCTGAGAGGGAGGGACAAGCAAGCCCGGATAGTCGACGGGGCTAGATATTAACGAGAAATAAATACATTTTACAATACATCCCCTGTAGTTCTCTACTGGGTCAACGACAAAATATCGGGGAGAATCCCTCCGTAGTGTCGTGTACTGTAAGATGTAACCTTCACAGGGGACACGGCGCAGTGTCTATTGACAGCTTGCTGGTTTTAGGACTTTAAGGAGAAATAAATAATATTCATGTAAAATCATGGAAGATGGAAAGAAGGCTACAGCAGTACATCACTCGTTTTTCAAACCTATATATTTTTTCATTTCACGGGCAGTAGGTGTTTTACGCCGTTTTTTTAGCAACTACCAAAAAAATAAAAAACTTATTTGACCCTTTGGGATAGCGTATCAGTGATGCCTACAGTAGAAGAGAATGGTACACCTGGTGCATGGTAGGTAGGGCATAGCGTTCAGTTTGTATCGTGTTAGCTGGTTTCCTGGTATGTTTGGTGTTGGTAATCAGCATCAGTAGAGCAAGGAAAGTGTTCAAGTGATATACATCCAATGTGACCATTGTTGTCAACTTCCCTGGTGTTCCTCAGAGCGGTTTGCCGAGACATCTTGTCGCAACCATGTCGTAATCCCGTTGAAGAGCATCCGTCATGAAGGTCAGCAGTAGCAGCGAGTGGCAGTTATGTTCCTCCAGAATGCATGGTGTGGCGTTTCGGGAAAATACAGTACGTTTCGGGGCAATTTCGGGTAATATGTCTGTTTCGGGGTAATTTCGGGGTAATTTCCCCCCCCCAAACGGCCATGTTCACCGATTTTCTTTTTGACACTGGATTTCGATGCACCTCGGTCGTGCGGTTATTGCCAACTTTGTTTCACGTCTCCTCAACTCTCAAAATTGCGCGAGAAAAAGTGGGCGTCACGGTGAGGCAAAATTTAACCGGATGGACTACAGTAGGGGGCCCTCTATAGTGCCGCTTTGCTCTCTGAACACATAGCGGCACTATACCGGGCACCGGCAGTATTCAGTAAGGGGCCCTNGGGATACAGTAGGGGGCCCTCTATAGTGCCGGTATGTGTTCAGAGAGCAAAGCGGCACTATACCGGGCACCGGCAGTATTCAGTAAGGGGCCCTCTATAGTGCCGGACCGGCACTATTGAGGCTTCGTATTTCCCTCAATAGTGCCGGATCGGCACTATTGAGGAGGTGTTGATTTCATGGTGCAGCGCTCAAGCTTTGCGGGGTCAACAGAGTACGATGTGGATAGTGGATCGAATATGTGTGTATTACCGTGGACGTATAAATCCTCGTTGCCCTCCTTCGATGTTGCCAGATAAAACAAGACAACAGAGAACCACGACAC